TAAGGAGCTCATGTTTTTAATGTTAATAAAACCCTTTTAAGTGTAAAGCGCTTTTTGGGGGGTAAAAACCCCGCAGAGACACAGCTTGGTTCAAGTTGCTTCTTGGCCAGCCCGGCTTTCATCCTCTGGGGGTTCCTGCGGTGTCCCTAAGTCTATTCCATGCTCAGGGACACGTGCTTGGTGTGCCAGCCCGCCTCAGGGCACTGCCTGCTGCGGACTCGCTGCTTTCTGAGCAGCAGCATCTTTTAATTAAGGAATTTCACACCCAAGATGAGGGGAAACCTCACAGGTAGGCCTCACAAGTAGGATAGCTTGGTGAGAATATGTTGCTTTGCCTGTTCAGCTCTGGAACAGCGTTGCAGCACCTCAGCTTAGATATTTCTTTGTCTTCTGCTTCCAGGAAGAGGAAGAAAGGAGGTCTTGTGCTAGAGCCTGATGAAAAAGAGGAAGAAAACGCTCAGCAGAATGAAAAGGAGGAAGAAGATGAAGTGGATAGCATAGAACAGGCAGAAAGAAACAGAGAAGAAGAAGAAAAAAAGAGAGAGGATGCTCTTTGGGCCCGTTTCCTTAGTGATGTGGGAGAGAAACCCAAAGTGGGGGCTGCCACGCCAGTGAAGAAGGTAACAGGAGGCTGGGCCCTCACCCAGGCAGGGCGTGAAGCGTTGGAGCTCCCAGTGCTGGTTCTAGCTGGTGTCAGGTGCCAGTCAGAGCTGGGGGGAGCCTGGCTTTTACCTTGCACCATCTCTCTGTGACAGCCTGGAGTCTGCACCATCGTGGGGCAAGTGTAAGCTGCTGGTTTCTTTCCAGCCAGGGAGGTGTGTGATCTGGTGTTGTTGCTTTTGGAGCTGCTTGTCAGCATATAGGTGTCCCACATACCCCTGTTGGCTTCTCCTCCTGGTCCTGGATTCTCCTTGTGACGTAGGAGCTGTGCAGTGAGGTTCAGACTGAGTTGTGCTTCTGGGTACAGCTCTCCTGAGGCTTGGGGTTTTTTCTGATGCTTTCAGACAAAAAAAAAAGGGAAATTTTGTTTGCGTGTGTGAGTGGGGGAGCAGAGGGGACCTGTGCTGATGTCCCAGTGCCTCCATCCTGGTGCAGCAAGGGGATCTGGAAGCTGCTGCGTGTTGGGGCGGACGTGCACAGTGAGAATGAATCAGGGTTTCTCTTATTTGTTTTAGAAATCCTGTTTAGGGTTTATAACCTGCACAGGTTTTCTGTGGAGAGAATTCTGTGTGTCATCAGCTGTTTAAAAGAGTTTGATTCTCAATAAAACCAAACCAGGTATTTGCCTGCAAAACCTTGCACACTGAAGGTGATAAAAGGGAATAATACCAAAACTGATCCTCTTTTGCTACCTTTATCTTGTCTTTTTTGAGTGATCAGCCAAAAAAGTGTTTTGCAGCAAAAGTCTGGGCTGTTAGCTCCCTGCTGCCTGGCGAGTACAGTTCTTTCTGTGTGAAGCTTCTTTTCTACAGTGGTTGGGGGGCTGCAGAGCAGGTGTAGCTAGGTCATCTTTGCTTGCAACTTTTAGAAGCAGAATCCTTTCATTAGAACCCTCCTGCTTCTCTCCACCTGAGTTGTTACTGGCTGAGCAGCTGAGATGGTTACAGGTGGAATGAAAAGGAGAGAGGAGAAGCTCTCCAGCTGCTCAGATGTGAGTGGTGTTTGGAAGTTCCTCCACAGCCTGGAATCACTCATAGAGAGATCCAGTTCCTCTGTTCTCATCGTGAACTTCTTAATTTGGACTTAAGTTGTTCACTTGAAGATTTCTGTGGCATGTGGTTGATTTCAAGCCAGAATTTTGGGGTTTGTTTTGGTTTTTTGTAGGGTCTGAGATTTTTTTTTATCTATGCTGTTAAAAGCTGTAGCTGTGACTGAGCAAATTAAGAGGCACAGTTGACAAGTTGCTTAATAAAGATATTTTCCTCTCCAATTAAAGAGGTGTTATTGACAACTAGCTTAGTATCTTCAGGGCTCTCTGAGAAGATCAGCCTTATTTTTCCTGATGATGGGTTGTGTCCCTTAGCATTCTGGAGTAAAACTAAACATATTTCTGTGTAAGCCACCCTGGCAGCTTTACTGCCTGGTTGTGCTTGGTTGGGGAGAACCAGGTGTTGAGAACCACAGCAGTTTATTCTTGTTCTTTCCTACACTGAATTACAGTTTCACATCTTTTTTTGGGTCTGTTTTGATCCTTGAGTCTCATCAAGAGCCTGGAACCAAAGTGGGGGGTTTGTTTCCTCTTTGTGGGTGGCTGGCTTTGACCACCCAGCCTGAGCTGCCGTGCTGCCCGAGGTCTGCCGTGGGTCCTTGGCATGATAAGTTGTCTTGGCTCCTCAACAGCATTAATGTTTCTCCTCTGAATCTTTTGTAGGCTGAAGAGAAGAGTGGGAACAAGCTTTGGGAGAAACCAAAAGAGTCTGAGAAGCCAAAAGACTCGGGAAAAGTGACGATCACCAAAGTGTTTGATTTTGCTGGTGAGGAAGTCAGGTGAGCTGGCCGACGTGACGTGCCTGCGACGGGCTCAGAGCAGGCTGGAGATGTGCTATGAGGCTTCTCCTTTTCCCTTTATGCTTTTTTCTTCCATCAAGAACACATACAGACCTCGAGGAAAAGGGAGTTAAGATTTCTCTGCCTGAGGGCTGCAGAATATCCTTATATACAAACACCAGTCTTTGCTCAACTTCAAAATATGCCCATAAATCCACTTGGGCTTCCACATCTGGGTAAAGTGTGAATTGGTTGGCTGACAGAAAGAGGTGTTTGGCTGAAGGGAGTGACAGCCGAGTGATTTTACCTCTGAAACAGCTGCAGTGAAGGCGATGGGCTGGGTAAAGCCATCTCTTAGGCTGAGTTTGGCTCGCAGGATGTGCTACAAAAATGGGCAGGCATCTTATAAATGCACAAGCCCAGAACTGAGGGGCCTGGGTGAGACCGCTTGAAATCTGAATGCCCTGTGGCATTGTGAATATTATCATGGTGGTTTTTTTTTATAAGTAGCTGTAAATCTGGTTTTGTCAGCTGCGAATTTCAGCACTGCTTTGTGTGACAGCAGAGGGCAGCAGATCCCAGCAGTACCACCCACGCTGCCTAGGGCTGGAGGAGGAAGCCAGAGCAGGAGCTTCCGCTGCTCTGTTTGAAAATCTGAGAGCTGTGAGTCATAGTAGTGCCCTCCCAGTTTGCCTGCACAATCCGGGCTGTAGGAATACCTTTCATTCACTGGAGAAATGACAAAGAGCTGTACACTGCAGCTTTTCAACCAAGCTGGGGAAGGATTTAGAGTCCGAGTGTGGTGAGGAGCAGCTGAGGGAGCTGGGGGTGCTGAGCCTGGAGCCAAGGAGGCTCAGGGGAGACCTGGCTCTGACAGCTCCCTGACAGGAGGTTGGAGCCAGGGGAGGTCAGGGTTTTCACCCAAGGAACAAGAAGAACCGGCCTCAGGTTGTGCCAAGGGAGATTTAGGTTGGACCTGAGGACGAATCTCTTCCCTGAAAGGGCTGGTGGAGTCCCCATCCCTGGAGGGGTTTCCAAGCCATGGAGGTGTGGTGTTGAGGGATATGGGTTAGTGGGGACCTGGCAGTGCTGAGTTAATGATTGGGCTCAATGATCTTCAAGGCCTTTTCCAAACAAAACAATTCTGTGAATCTTCGAATCTCATTTGAAGTCTGGACATGTCCATCTGGGCGGTGCAGGTGAATGTCATGTCCTAACGTGAGCACAGAAGTGTGTCACTGGAAGGAGGTGGTTGATTTACCCAGAAACTTGCCTTGCAGGCTTAACTCAGAGCATGAGTCTTACACTTGTGAAAGGGGGGTGTTTTTCGGTCCAATTTTTTTGTGAAGTATCAAATCCTTTAAACCAGGGAGCTGGTAAAAATATTGGCCTTGAGGTTTCTTTACTTGTCTCTATGAACAGAAGCCCCAGATAATTATGATTTAAGTACAGAATTACTCAGGTGTTGACCTGACTATGGCATTTTTGATCTTGTGTGGTGGCTATAGATTAGATTTACCTGGGCTGCTCTTATTAATAAATATTAGAGGACTTGGGGAAACCTTCGTCAAAAAGTGGCTTGCCTGATGTGAACAGAACTTGTCCAGGGCTCTTCAGATGCTGAGTTTGTGCTTTTGGCACCAATATCTTACAGTAGTTTTTTTAACAACTAGATTAAAGTTTCCAAGTTAGCTCAAGGCACATTTTTCTGCACCAGTTGCTTTTCTAGCAGCCTTTGTACTGCTCAGTTCTGCTTCACTTGGGGAGCTGCAAAGGAAAATCCTTCCAAGTCTTTTGCCCCCTTTATTTTTGGGATGCTCAGAGGTGAAGCTTTTATGGGGTTTGCTACATCTTATCTCTAAACACCTTAGGGGTGGGGTGTGAGGATTTATCACTGCTTACAGCTTCTCCTATTCCTGGAGCTGCAGTTGTGGAGGACCAGAGGGCTGTTTTTTTTCTTCAGAATACCAGGAGGTTGGCTTTTCATGACCCTGAGTCTGCAAAAGCTCTGAATACCCAATGCTGACGTCCTTGCCTGGGGAGGCAGCTGGCAAATTGTTGCTTTCAAAGGCAAACACATGGTATTTGTGTCTCTGTGTGTGTGATTCTGGACTGAAAGAACTGAAATGAGAGCGCTGTCTCCCTTGCTTTCCTTTCTAAACGGTTTCAGGCTACTTTTGGGTGTTGCTCTTTTGAAAGCTTGAGAAGAATTGAGATCAGTATTTAAGCACTGATAGATTCAGGGCACAAATTTTATCAGTCTGCTTAGTGAATCTCTTAACAGAAGATCATTTAGCCCTGATCTCATGTTGCAGAACAATTTATTTTCTCCTGTAAGAAGGTGGTTTAATCTCTCTTGTGTGACTGGAGTGGGAGAAGTCTCTTGAAAGACATTTCCAGCTACAGGGCTGTAGTGGGATAGTGAAAGACCTTCCTCCTTAAGCTCCCCTATAGGTTATAGTTGTACTTAATATCCATTTATAGTAGTTTGTATTGTTTGCTAATGCTAAACCTGAGCTTCAGAGCCTTACAAATTACCACATAAAGAATGAAATAGAGTGGCTTTTGAATTTTATAAAATACATGATGTAGCATTACCTTGTAAAACCAATCCTGGAACTAGAAACAGTCTTGAAGCAATTTCTGTGATTTCCAGTTGTGACTTTCCTGTCTGCTTCCCAGTCCTCCCTGGGGTTAAATAGATGAGGAGCAGCAGGTGACTGTCACCCAAATGACTGTAATTGCAGGAGCAGGAGCAATTTGCGAAGGCAATTCAGCATCTAAATGGAGGTTCAAGTCCTTTCTCACTGGCAGAGGAGATGGAAGCTCCTTTGAAACCTCTGGTTTATGGACTTGCCTCACGATGTAGGACGTGTGGTTGCATTAATGGGGAATCACATCCCTCGTGCTGGGTTTTTTGCTGTTATCACTGTATGATGAGGCTTGTTTTCTCTCTGGCATTCCAAACTACTTTGACCTCTGGCTTTCTTTAAGCTGCTGCTGTGCTCAGGGTATCAAAATGGTTCTTCTGTGCTCCTTCCGTGGAAGTCAGCTCTGTGTCCATCCAGGACTGGTGGCCCAGCCCTGTGGTGTCCATCACAGCCTAACAACCAGTGAGGGAAGAGCAAAGGCAGGTCAAGAAACACTAGCAGGGGTCGGTGGTGTTTGAAACATCTTCTGCGTACCTTTATTTGGCCTGTGGGAGGCAAAAGAAAGCTGAGAGGAGTACTGGTGTCAGGACTGGGAGGCCTGTGTTTGACACCCAGCTTTGTTCATGCACTGCACGTTCCAAGTGAAGGGCTCAAGAGGAGACGCTTCATATTTCTGTGTGTATGTGCTTCCTCCCTATGGTTTGAATCCAAAGCTCCTCACACTCAGGTGGTTCTTCTGGTGGGAATGTTTTCCTGGTACTGTGGAGTGCAGTGCTATACTAACCACGTTGTGTTGGCTAAGCTGTGGCTTGTGCTGCTTCCCTGACACTCAGCCATGTCTCCGTGTGTGAACAGAGCAGCCAAGGCAAAGCAAAGCTCTAGTTGGGCTCCATACTCCATCTGCCACTGAGGAGAGCCCTCTTCTTTTCCTGAAACCTGGCAATGTGTTCCAGTCAAAGCTACTTTTACTTTCTTACAAGGCTGGAGTGCCTGGGAATCCAGAACAACTCCTAGCAGGCTGGGCCATGGCCTCAGTCCTCTGCACTGTGTCCCCTTCCTGCCCAGTCCATGCTGCTGGTAGGTAGCAAATGACAGCCTTCTCAGAGTCAGTTCAGAGAATCATGGAGTGGCTTGAGTGGGAAGGGATCTCTCAAGGCCATCCAGTCCAACCCCCCTGCAGGGAGCAGGGACATCCCCAACTAGAGCAGGTTGCTCAGAGCCCTGGCCAACCTCACCTGGAATGGTTCCAGGGATGGGGCAGTGACCATCTCTCTGGGCAACCTGGCACAGGGGCTCACCACCCTCAGTGCCAAACATTTCTTCTCTCCAGTCTCAATCTCCCTCTCCCAGTTTCAGACCATCCCCCCCTTGTCCTGTCCCAACAGGCCCTGCTCAAAAGTCTGTCCCCAGCTTTCTTGTAGGCCCCTTGAAGTCCTGTCAGGCCCCCAGAAGGTCTCCCCAGCTGGAGCCTTCTCCTCTGCAGCTGCCCCAGCCCAACTCTCTCCTGCTGGGCTCCCAGCAGAGGGGTTCCCCCCTCGGGTCATTGCTGGGGCTCCTCTGGCCCCGCTCCAGCAGGTCCTGGTCTCTGCTGTGCTGAGGACTCCAGAGCTGCCCCAGCACTGCAGAGGGGTCTCCCCAGAGCAGGGCAGAGGGGCAGGAGCCCCTCCCTGCCCTGCTGCCCTTGGTGGTGTTGCTCCTGAGCCCTCCAGGACTTGTGGATTAGCTTTTGCATGAACCCTTGAGCCTTTTTCTCAGGTGTTTTGGCTGCTTCTGCGTGCTCTGAACCAGTTTCTTTCAGCCCTCTCGCGTGTCTGGCAGGTATTCCTGGGACCTGAGTAGTTCTTGGCTTCTTGCCACGTCTGAGGCAGGGGTTGTCATGCAAGCTGCATGGCTGCTGGCAGCACGCTGGGCCTGCATCCACACAGAGATGTTTCCAGATCTGTCCGTGTCTGTGGTGCGAGCTCCCTGCTGCTCTCTGGATGCTGGGATAAGAGATGCAGCCTGTGTACGTCCTTGCACGCTGCGTGTTCCTCCTGCTGAGCAGCTGATAAGTGCTGAAGGCATCGTTCTGAGGGCTGTGTCAGAAGCTGCCAGACCACAGAGCCCTGAACCCAAAGCATTTACAGCCAGGGAGCTGGGGTTTTACCTTGGACCTTGCACGGGGTAAATGTTTGTCCTGTGAACTCTTCAGTCCCTTTCCTATTTGGAGGCTGAGCAGACGGGTGAGGTTCTGCTGAGTTGGACTGAAGCTCATCCTTTCAGGTTGAGCTCTGTAATCTTTAGCTGCTTCTTAAATGCCTGTTTCCTAATTATTTCAGGCTGCTCCTGAAGGTATTCTTCAGTGTTTGC